CTGATTTACAATACACTCTGCCTTAGAGTGAAAAATGAATAGAAAAAAAGATTCCAACTAATTCCTAATTTTCTTGGCAATCCCTAATAATAACAGTTGTCTGAAGTATTAGAGCCTGAAGACTAGGTATCAAATACTATCAAATAAAAGTCCTCAGGACCTCTCAATGACACTGATTACAGTGTAAAGTTCTGGGATAGTTTTTCCATCCAGCTTTGAAAGGCCTAAATTTATTTCCTTTTGTTTGTTTATTCCCCATCAAAAGACTGGTAAATAATTGCTTTTCATTTAAATTACTAAAACTTCATTGAACTTTGTAAGTCTATATTCTATTGTGAAACATAACTACTAAATATGACTGTCCAAGTTATGTAATTATACCAGTAAATTGGGATTTCTGCAGTCTTCTGAAGCAAGGCATATGCACCCAAGCATATGTTCTATCAGATTTGGCATGAGGAGTCTGTTGCTAGAAACAAAGAAATTGACCATTATCTTTACCATCTTTTTCTGATTGGGTAAATTTGTTTTCACTTGGTAAGCTAATATGATATATTTATGTTATGCATTATGTTAATTGTGAGTCAAGACTTTTGTAGACAGAGAATGGATGAGAACAGACATTTAATTCAGTTCAGGAAATTTATAGTCTTCTGTAAGGCCCTCAATAGACTATTTCTCCCCACTGAAGGCCAAAGACATTTTTTTTTAACTTTATAAAGAAAAGAGGCTTATTTATCTCATGGTTCTAGAGGTTCAAAGGCATGGAGTCTGTATCTGCTCAACTCTGAGGGCTTGGTGGAGGATGGCCTCACAATGAGGGAACATGTGCCCCTGGAATGAGACAGGAAGTCAGAAAGGATGGAGGGTGGCAAGGCCTGTTCTTTGACCAAGCCTCTCTGGAGAACTGACTCAAGGGTCCCATAAGAACTATCTTTGTCCCTCCCAAGGGCAGCTCCTCTAGTGTTTTAATGATCTCTTGCTAGACCCCAACTCTTTTATTTTTCTTTAATTGGTGCATTATAGTTATATATACAAGTGGGTTTCATTTTCTATATTCATACTTGCACATAACAAGCTTTGGTCAATTGCATTCCCTACCACCTCCACTCCTCCTCCCCCATCCTCCCTCCAAAACCATTTTTGAACATATGTTAATCTTCAAGGATTTCAAATCATTTATCTGTAGGTAACCTTTTCCTAATCAAATTAGGAGCACATTCAAAATACTAGAGGAAAAAATAATACTTGTGCTAATGGTCATGCTATGATTAATATTTATTGTGTCAAACACTGCTATAAACCTCACATTACTTAATTTATGCTTCTGAATAATTCTGCAAGATAGGTACCATTATTATTGACATTTTCAAGACTCTGAAACAGAAGCCAAGTGATGTCAAGTCACTAGCTCAGTTTGTAGAGGTAGTAGGCTATAGAAATGCTGTACCTAGCTCCAAAAGCCAGCAGTTTCACAGAACATAGTTATGGTTACAGGCTGTGAAGCTGGACTGCTTAGTTTTGAATTAAAACTTGGCCTCTTCTTAACTGTGTGACTTTGGGTGCATTGAGCACACTTTCAGTGCCTCAGTTACATAGTAGGTAAAAATGGGAATAAGACCACTATACCACCTAGTATTATTGATAGGATTAAATAAGAGGGTTCATAAAAGGGTTAGAACAGTGCCTTCTGTCTAGTAAAACATTTTGTCAGCTACTTCTACACCATGCTTCTGTAATATGGGAGACACAACAACTTCATTCTTACAATGCTATTAATAGATTGGACATAGCAATGGTTCTTGAATGAGAATCAAAGGATTCTGTCCCAGCCACATGTTTGGAGAATGGGAAAGCTTAGATGTATTTCAAATGCTACTATGATATCCCAACATATTCTGGTGATCATCATTAGTTATTTTGATAAATTATGGGAAGAAATGATAAAGGGTTAGACATACACAGAACTTTTGTGAAGAGGCTAACTGCATCACCTGTTGGTTTCCCTCTTGTTCTCCCATTCGGTGAGCCAGCTCATTTTAGAATAATAAGGCACTGAGAGAAAAATCCAAAGGGGCCACAGTTGGGACTCTTTCTACAAGGGAGCACCTCAGCACACAGATTGTTACACATGCATCTTTTACATACTTATCCTTAAACTGTTTATCTGGCACATCCACAGGCAGCTGGTGGAACAAATAGGAAATCCTGTGAAGCACATTCATTTTTAAAGTGTTAATGCTCCCAATCCAAGAGACAGTAATGTGCTTCCATCCGTTAAGATCCCCTTTAATGTTTCGGATTGGAGGGCCATAATTTAAATGAAATGCATTATCCAACCTGGAAGGTATTCCACATCCTAAATATTTAATTGATTTCTCCATCAGGAGAAGATGAGCCTACACAATAGGCAGATCCTATCTATATCTAAGTGTCCGATTAATAGTGTCTCTAATTTAGGGTAATTTAGGAGTTTACAACTTATAAAATGGCTATTTCTTCCACATTCCTCTCAAAGTACCAGGAGGATTGTGTCTGGATTAATTGCAAACAGCAGACCATCCTCTGTGTGTAATGAAAACCCAGAGTCAGCATCATCAGCCATGCACCTATAATTTGAGATCTCATCTAAATATTTTTCACTAGGGGCTTCACATTCAATGTAAATGGAAATAGCAAAGGAAGAAAGTAGTAATTGTTGTATCTCCCTATTAAAAAGTTTAACAAGTCAAGTTCATTCCTGCTGATTTTTACTTAGTTGGGTCTTAGCTAACTGAGTGGGGAAGATAAATCAAGCTACTTGCAGATTTTCCTAATGGTGCAAAGTTTGGCACCCTGAGGACTGTGGAAATGCCTATTACTACACTTGTAAAGAAGAGAAGTGGAACAAGACTGTGGGTGGCTGGATCTATATGAGTGATTTATGACCTCTGAATCCACTTAGTCATTTCTGGATAAGCACTTAAGTGCCAAAAGTTTATGGTCATTTTCAGTTTAAGAAAAGAATAGGCACATCTTACCATTCAAGAAGGATGTATTAACTGGAGAAATCAGTATTGTTTTTTTTTTTTTCTTGAGTTTATTAGTAAATTGTAAAATTGGAGTTTATAAATGCAAAGTGACATTTTACCTAATTATGTCTACTTATAATTTTGTGAGGTCATTCCAATGACACCATTTTGTAGGGAAATAACCTGGATGTTGGGCTGCTAAACTTTAGGTTGAGATTTGAAGTTTACTAACAAATAAATTTAAAAATTAATAGCATATCAGGTATACATTTTTTTCATGTTAAATTTACTTTTTCTGTCGAGTTTTTGTCTTTTTGAAAAGCTACTTTGTGGATAGCTTAATTTTTGTTCAAATACAAATTAGAATCAATTTTCTGGGGAAAAATAATCAGTATAGCTCCTGTTCTCCACAACAAAGAAATTACATTTGTAGACATATTCTGGAAATTTAAATCCCTCAATACTCTTTTGAGCAAGTCCAAGGAGATTTGAAGACTGACATTTTGTACTTTGCTATTCCCAAGGGGCATATGTATGATCATCTTTGCTGAGGTTTGTTCCCATCCCTGCTGAATTAATATGCATTTTCGTTAACTAATCTTGAAACAACAGGAATAAAGTTTATCCAGGTCTTTTATACCTCAGAGAACAAAACAAATACTACAAATCTTTAGAGAGAAAGGATATACAAAAGGGCTTGAGGTGAATATTTCAAAGCAAATACTCTTTAAATGATGTGCAAATTATTTCAGCTCTTGAGCATGATTTATGAAAGGGGATTAGCCCACTGAAATAAGAACCAAGTTTAAACTGTTGGGTTTCAAAGTCAAAGATGAGAAATGGTTACAAGAAAAAGAAGGAGAAAAGCAACAACAATTTAGAGGAGGAATTTGCCTTAATTTTCTCCTTAACTGACTCACCTTAAATTGTCACAAACTATTGTTCTTAATTGCAATTAAAAATACTGCATTTCTCCTCCTATTTTATATAAAGTTAAGAATATAATAATTAAGAAATGATTTATATTTCAGCAGGAAAGTCTCTACTTCTCATGTTAAAAACATAATCACAAACTGTTAGCAGTTAAAACTCGTCAAGCTGGAAAGGGTGACTCCTAAGTCTGAGAATTTTTTTTTTTTTCTCAATTCACAAGTCACATCTACAATAACAAAACATAATACTTTCTAATATTCCAAAATGTTCTTCAGGTAGTAGTTAAAGCTTCTTGTAAGACTTATGAAAATGATTGTTTCTGTGTAATTGTAAAGAGTATTAAGTGAGCTCACTTCATATAATTCCATAATGACCCACTATTCTGGAAGGTAAAAGAAATTTCAATGATTCCACTCACATGTGATTAATATCTAATGCTTCTTGACTAAAATTCTGGATTTTGTTCAATAAAAATGAGTTAAGCAAAAATTCTTTGGGTTCTCAACCAAAGCTTTCTGTGAAAATCAGTTATGCCCAATTTAAAAATAAGGCATGGAATTTCAATAATAAACCCAGGTACTAACTAGGGAAAAAAGATTAATTATTCTTATGTAAGCTGTCTTGGGGTAATAAAGCCAAAGAAGTGAAGTGAATCTGGACACTACTAAAATTTTAAGGAAACTCCTTCAATTGGTTTTATTACTATCCTATGAATTTTTAAAAGACTAGATATTTTGGTACACATTTATGAATAAGGTTTTTATTGAGAAAATGATTATCATTAGCCCATTTCCTTTTTCATTTCCTTGAATAAAAAAGAAAAGTGGATCTGAGAAAATATTTTATTTTGGATCTAGTTATTACCATTTCTTCTCAGTGAGTGAAATCTCACAATAGTAGATGGATTAATTAGATCTTATTTTAAATTATCCTCTATTTTTGAGAACTAGATTGTGAGCCTACTTTTGTTTTCTTTGAGATTTTTCAAAAACAACTTGACTGAAGTGCAGCCTGGTGGGCCTTGATTGTTTTGGCAGGCAGCAGAGAGCAGCTAACTCTGAGTCAAACAGCCAAGCTGTGGCTCATCCAGAATTAGGACATCTAACCTGAACGGCTGATGGGAAATGAACTCAAGAACCACATAAAACATCATTCATGCAATCAAATACTATCGTTCTTGTCTTTGGAGAAGGAAAGTAACAAATAAACAAAACAAGCTACATGTGAGATTACACGTTCCTAAAAGAAGAGTCAAATAGAAGGTAAATAGAGTCTCAGATGGGATTTACACATGTTTATATCCAGGGAATTAGTGGATTATTTCCAGGGAATTGCTTTTGTCTATTGTCTATTTGTTTTGGTGAGTGTAGTTTATTCTTAGAAACTGATTTTTTTCATTTTTTCTTCCTTTCTTTTATTTTCTGTTCTTCCTTCCTTTCTTTTTTTTTTTTACTTATTTATTTATTTTTGGTTATTGTGCTTTGGCTAGAACTGTTGACTTTTTGAGGCCAGTTTAGAGTTTAAGATTGGGTGTGGTACAGGCAAAAGTTACACTGGAAGTTTGTGTCTTGATTCTGTATTTGTCTGTAATCATAGGCTAGAAGGAATTGATGAGACTAAATAAATATTCACCATCTGAAATTATGCATTGTCATGCAATGGCCAATGTGATAATCATAGCAGGTTTACTCTGCACAAAGGCAGACTAGACAGCTCTTTTATATAAGCAATTCTTGTTGAAGTCCCCAAAGCCATATGCTGTTTCTCAGCTTTCATAACCTATTTAGAAAACTTACTTTTATTATTTTTGTGATATGGCAATGTGTGTTTTTCCTTATCTTAAAAATTAATCAATCAAGTATTTTGAAAGTTTTTTTTTGTACTACTAAACACGTACTCCCAGCCCTTTTTAATATTTTATTTTAAGACAAGGTCTCACTAAGTTGCATAGGACCTCATAATTGCTAAGGCTGGCTTTAAGCTTGTGATCCTCCTGCCTCAGCCTACCAAGCCACTGGGATTACAGGTGTGTGTCACGGCACCTGGTCATTTTGATAATTGTTTTGATAAATATTTGATATTTTGTAACTATTTTTGATATTTTGATGCTGGGGATCAAACCAGGGCCTTGTGCATGCTAACCAACTCTTCTACATTGTGCTAGAACAGCAGCCCAGAAATGTGTTTCTCAGACAAAGGTTGGAATATTTCAAAGTGACCTCTAGACATAAATGGAGGAATTGGGGGAAGATTGCCAGGGAAGTGATGGAAGCAATGAAAGGTTTCTACAATATAATGTGACTGTGGACTTGTGGGAGTCTTTCAAGTACAGAAGAAAGAATGACAGAGAAAAAAAAAGTGGATACATATTAGGATAGAGGACAGGGAGTCATGAAATATAAAGAGTTGGGGAATAACAATTTGATTGGTAAACTTTCAATATACAAAACACTGGGGAAACAACTGAAGCATAGGTTGGAAAGGAACAATAAACCATTGACAAAGGGTCTTTCAAGCCATGCTAAGAAACTTGGACTTGTACTACAAGTAATGGGGGCATAGTGGACCCCTTTTGTTGTTGTTGTTGTTGATATTATTATTTGTGTGTGTGTGTGTGTGTTTGTGTGTGTTACCTGGGATTGAACCCAGGGGCACTTAACCACTGAGCCACATCCCCAGCCCTTGTTTGTATTTTATTTAGTGACAGGGTCTTGCTGAGTTGCGTAGGGCCTTCCTATATTGCTGAGGCTGGCTTTGAACTTACTAAGACTCACATTAAGAGATAAGTGCTTCACAGTTCAACCTTTCCTCTTATTCCTTGGGCATAAAATTCAGGATGGGTTCCTCAGTCATTAGGTTACTTATTCACTCAGGCCTTTAATATTAAACATCACTGCTTTCAGACTCTGTTCTAGGTTATAAGGGAGGAGGGGTGATCCTTAGAAGGTCCTGGTTAATGTTCTTCAGGCATTCCCCATCTAATGGATCAGGATGAACTGGGTTTAAGCAAATGAGAGAAGTACTGGTCAGCTAGGATTACCTCTTCCAGATAACACCTGCCATCCCTTTGATATAGTGGATGTGATGGGCCTCTAGGTATACTTGCCACCTGGCCAATGAAATGCACTTGGGTGAGATCAGATTTTCAGCAACTTTAAGTTAACTCTTCATAAATGGCTTGGTATCTGTGTGTTTCATATTTTTACTCTAGTCAGTAAAAATCAATCACCTTATCACCAGATACTTTATGATGCTGGCTTATTCTATTAAATATATATATTCATATTTATTTTGTTTATGTTATATATATATATAACATAAACAAAATCTTCCCTAGCTTTTATGCAAAATTACTTAAACTCTTTCAAAATTCTACAGTTGTATTACTATTCTATATTCTGCAGTAATGCAAAAAAATAACTGACATTTGGCCAAGTTTAATATTTAGAGATTGCCATAATGTCAGGTTCACATTCAGGAATGACATTATGCCTCATGACACTCAGAGTCCTTTAAGGAAAGAAAAAAATTAAAGGATATATTATGCTCTGAGTTAATGACAATATTAAAAATTAAGTTTTGGCAAATTACATATTTGTTTAATTTGCATTTTTAAATTCTGTATTAAAAGTGCATTCTTGGCATATTCCTAAAGAAAGAAACCGGTGGTTTTATAGTAGAAAAATTTATGATTAGTTTACTCGGACTTCACTCATGCAAATCATTACATACAATATTTATATCATAATATATAACCTACAAAGTTCTTAGATATATTTTAGTTGTGTGTGTGTGTGTGTGTGTGTGTACAATCTTTAGATCTATTACATATCAAATCCACATTTGTATTTCTGATAATATTATAGTTATATAAAAAATACCCATTATACTTACCAGGAAAATCAATTTTAGGAAACTTATGAAACTTGTCCGAATCATATAGTTGTATATCCTGAGAGTAAGAATTGTATTCAAAATTTCTGATTCTTAGACCCAAAATTTTTTATACAATCTCACATAACATTTTGAGGAGGGTGTTGAAGACTAATATTACTTGAAGATCAACATTAATATAACTTTATTTCTACAACTTTTGTGTTAATCTAGATTTTTTAAACTAAATTGATTCAAGAAAAAAAGTATTCCGAGTCTTTTAGAATTATCAAAACTATTATTATTTTTGTACAATACAAAGTTTCTTTTTATTTTATTGCCTCTAATAGCACCTTGAAAATTCCAAGTCATAGCAATTTAAAGAGCCTCAAGAATTAATATGAAACATAGTAACTCTTCAAAATAAAAAAAAAAAGGACATAAAAATGATGATAGAGGGGCTGGGGCTGTAGCTCAGTGGTAGAGCTCTTGCCTTGCATATGTGAGACCCTGGGTTCGATCCCCAGCACCACATAAAAATAAATAAATAAATAATGTTGGGTATAACTTCAATTTACTATTAAAAAACATGTTTCCTTTAAAAAATGATAGAAATATTGAGAGGTTATGGCCTGAGCTAGTCTTAAAGGATGTTTGTTTAATAAATAGAATACCTTATCTTAAAGGTAAAACTCATCATGTAGTGTATGTATCATGATTATAAGCACTATTTCCTTGGAACATAAACTGTGGGTCATGGAATGGTGGTAAATTCTGGGGAACAGGGCATAGGCAGTTAAAAGCTGTCTATAGGGGAACTTGGGCCTTTGATTCCCAATGTAATAATTTGATTAGAAGTGGTTCTTAATTGGAGGAGGAAGAGGAAGAGAAGGAAAAGGAGAAGGGGAGTGGGAGAAGGAGAAGGAATTATTCTTAATATTTTATCTCAGTTTTGGATTTTTGAGGATACTAGATGTGGTAGCAGGATCTCAGTCCTATATTTTCTACTTGGTCATGATATTTCCTGTTTTGACTCTATTTTTTAAGTCTATTAATTTTTTATATAAATAGGGAATATCTATTTACATTAGAAAAAATTAGACAACAGGAACATTTGTCTTCGGGTGCCATTTAAATAATCACAGAAAGATGAATTAACAGACTTATTTTACCCAAGTCATCATATACCATTTCTTGAAAGAAGTTAGAAATTTCTTAGGTATGAATCTCACTTCATTGAATTCTTGAGAAATATGGTATTTTTAGATTTGGTTCATACTCTAGGGTGAAAGCAATACGTAATTTAAATTAAAGTATTTGGATTAAAGTATGAATAATAAGAAATAAAATTTATTTTCTAAGAAAGTCTTAACAGTTTCTATGTTTTTATAATTGAAATATTTTAAGACCTGTTTGGGACATATAAATAAATACATTAAAAATCAAGTTACTTTCTTTTAGGATTTTGTAAAAAAAAGTAGTCTACGTTCCTATACTCCAGATAAACTTTGTGTTTGTGTTTCGAAAGAGGAGATTATTTGTGTTCAAAATAATGTTTTTTTTCTCTGCATAGGATTCACTATAAGAAAATATTTTACATTGAAGAAAGGTAATTTAACCTGATGTGACAATAATGAATATATATTATATACCTTACTTTACAAGAAGATATAATAATTTATGCCTCTTGTAGTCATGGAATAGAGAGAAACTTTCAGGGGAGCTCAGAGAGCATTGTTTTTCTCTTGTTTACAGTCACAGTAGCGTATTAATGCTAAGGAAATATTGCTGGAGAGTTAGAGGAAAGAGCCCTCTGTATTTGGCCTATTATTGAAAGAAAGATGCCACTTGACCTAATGAAATCAGAAATTGATTAAATGCAGTTCATCTGAGGGTAAATATGGTCACGGTGTTGCTGCCAGGGTCAGGAGGAAGATGGGGTGATCTAGTGCTAGAGTGCTGATAGGGTTAGATAGACTTTCAGAGTAGCTGATGCTACAAGATACATGACCATGGATGCCCACAGGTCAGAGGGCAAGATCAGCCCCTCAGATGGGAAGGGAGGTATTAATCAGAACATTCTTTGCTCAACTCATAGCTAAGTCCTCTTATCACATGATTCATTGAGAAGTAAATGTTTTAAAGAAACTACAATCTATGGGTCCCAGGAAACTTGGGTTCACTGCTAACTGTCTTGAGAACACATGTCAGAACAACGACTGGGTCACATAAGACCACAGTAGTCTCACAACCTTTGTGAATAACACTTTTGACAAATTACTCTGGATGCCTGGTTATCAAGTATGCATCTAATCTTTAATGTTTTTCTCTGACAAATTTTAAAACCTCCAGCCTAAACAACATATATTTTAATTTAAATTTTAAAATA